TCTCCTCTTCACAAAGAGAGTGTGATCAGATTGTGTCTGTGTGCATCCAAAACAGATGAGTGCCCCTCTGAACCTATCAAACTAAGCCCTAGGTGATTGTTTCATTCCATACAGAGATTTACTTAGTTTGCACACCTTTCATTTACCAACATTTTCATAAAAGCCTGTTGGAATTTCCATATATACCTCCTCTTATAAATCACCATTGAGGAAAGCATTTTTGACATCAAGCTGGAACAAGGGCCATGAATAGGTGGCTGCTAGAGATAAAAGGATATGAACTGAACTCATCTTAGCTACTGGTGCAAAGGTTTCCAGATAATCAACACCATAGGTTTGAGTATACCCTTTTGCTACCAACCTTGCATTGTACCTCTCTATCTTGCCATCGACCTTATACTTCACTGTGAATACCCATCTACATCCAACTACCTCCTTGTTTGGGGGGAGATCAATTATTTACCAAATTTGGTTTTTGATCAAAGCATCCATCTCATCTTGTATGGTTGTTTTTCACTCAAGTTTGGAGAGAACCTTAGTAACATTCCTAGGTATAGACACAGAAACCGGGGAAGAAAGAAAAGCACGGTAGGAGGGTGATAAGGCACTATAGGAAATATGGTGTGAAATGCAATGGGCTATACACTTTCTCTTCCCCTTACGAAGTGCAATGGGAAGATCAAGGTCAGTAGGATCAACTGCAACAATGGTGTTAGGGACAGAAACATTATCATCAAAAAACATAACAGGATCAGGCTCAAGAGGAATACTTGGAACTGTATCTACCGAATCTGGAGTTTCAAAAGGACTGATAGAGAGTGGTGTTGGTTGAGGATGAGTGGAGTCAACCATCATCTGCCGGTGCTGATATTTCTATGAGGTTGCCCGTAGTGGCTCAGGTAATGAAACTAGAGGTGCAAGTATTGGTTGAACTGATGTAGATGCTGGCTGAACTGATGGAGGCACTACAAAAACAAGAAGAGGAACATATTGTCAGTTCTGCTCCCCAAAACTCTCTCCCTGAGGAGAACCACTCGAGAAGAAGAATGTGGATTCAAAGAAAGTAACATCCATAGTGACAAATCTGCTCATCGACATTGGGTCATAACAGCAATACCCGTTTTGGTTCTGAGCATACTCAAGAAAAACACATTTCGTGGCCTTAAGATCAAATTTCTTGCGATGAGGGCTAAGAATGTGAACAATAGAAACACAACTAAAAACCCTCAGAGGTATATGAAATAACTCTTCATTTGGAAAAAGAAGGCTAAATGGCACCTTAAACCACAAAGCCTGTGAAGGAACACAGTTAATTAAATGCATGGCTGTAAGAACTGCATCTCCTTAGAAATGCACAGGAACTGAAGCACACACCATAAGACTCCTTGCCACCTCTACAATGTATTTGTTTTTCCTCCCAGCAACTCCATTATGTTGCAATGTATATGCACAATTGCTTTGATGAACTACACCATGTTCTAAGAAATACGTGATCAGGTCCTTCTCAAAGTATTCCTTAGCATTATCTGATCTAAAAGCCTAAGTTCTCATTCCAAATTGTGTAAGAACAATCTGGTGGAACTGTCGTACCAAGTTAGGAACCTCATCACGTAATCTCATCAAATATATCCAAGAATATCGTGTATAATCATCCACAAACAAAAGAAAGTAACGGAATCCTCCCATGGAAGGGATATGATATGGCCTCCATACATCAGTGTGGACAATATTAAAAGTAGAAGTACTTCTTTTATTACTTGGTTTAAAAGACTGTCTACAATGATTTTCTAACTGACAACTCTCACACTCCAAAGTAGATAACTAAACAGACTCAAAAAACTTTGGGAAAAGACATTTCAAATAACTAAAAGAAAGATGTCCCAAGCGATTGTGCCAAAGCATAATCCGGTTCACTGACTCTAACCCACTATTCCTACTGATGCTAACATGATGGCCCTGATGTCTCGGAATCTCATCTAGAAAGTAGAATCCATTCACCTCGCGACCACTCCTAATCATCTTCTTTGACTCCAGATCCTGCAAAACACAATTGCTTGGAAGAAAGGTCACATAACAATTCATTTTTTTTGTCAAAGAACTAACAGATAGTAGGTTGGTATGAATTCTAGGGACATGTAAAACAGAAAACAGAGTTATATCATTAGTCACTCTAATTGTCCCATTCCCAGCAATGGGCATATGTGAACCATCTGCTGTAGAAACTGTCTCTACCAGAGCACAATTGATAGGAACTGAAAATGGTAGGGGCATTAGTCATATGCTCAGATACTCCTGAGTCTATAATCCAGGGAGGTCCCTCTTTACCTGAAGTGGATGCAAGATTTGTAGTTGCATATGAACTACTTGTATGTGCAAAGGAAGTGGTGTAGTTGATTCCTACATTCTGCTATCCATCTAGAAGGCTAGAGCTAGGTGAATCTTTCTTGCTCATAAATTGTTCAAACCTCTCCAATTCTATTCTCACTGCTACTACTGCAATGGATTCCCAATCAGTTTGGGAAAGAAGGGTTGAAGAGTCTCCTGTAATGGCTACATTTGCATTTCCCTTATTGTTTCTTATCCGAGCAGGCATAAGATTTGGATGAAACTTTCAATAAGTGTCCCTGGTATGCTTAGGCTTCTTGCAATAATCACACACCAAGTCCTTATCTTCCCTTCTAGTCTCATTACTCCCCTTGTCTCCATTCGACTTAGGTTTTGTTGTACCAACCATAGTCGACTAGTCAATCATAGGTTGTCTCACCATTACATTTCTCCTACTCTCCTCTTCAGAGACAAAGGCATAGGCCTGAGAGAGTGTCACACTCTCCCTAGAAAGAACATGCTGCCTAGCAATGTCAAATTCAGGGTCCAGCCCTACTAAGAACTCAAAAACCCTATTCCTCTCTACCAGTCTGTGATAAGTTGCTGCATTATTTACACTTTCCCATACCATAGTTTCTAAGTGATCTATTTCCTGCCATAGGATTTTCAGCATGGAGAAATACATAACAAAAGGTTTTTCTCCATGTTTCATACTTATCAATTGATTTCTTAACTAATAGGCTCTGGCTTCATTTTGCTTCTGAAAATAGGTTTCAGACACTCCATCACAAATCTCCTTAGCAGTATAGACCATAGGAATTTTTTTGCAATATGAGGTAACATAAAATTCACAGCCAAGACATTACCATGTAATTCTCCTGCACCCATCGGGAAGAGTCTGTATCAGGTTTCTTCTCCTCCCCAGTGAGATACTCTAATTTTCCACAGGCACCAATAGTCATCTTAGCTGATTATGCCCACTCCAAATAATTTGTAACATCAAGTTTTACTATAATAATGGTCCCAAACCCAAAAATATCACTACTACCTCCAACACCCAATCTCATAGGTACCGGTAGATTTCATCTCGGTATTCCAACTCTCCATCTTACTTCAAATAGTTCAACAGTAAGAAAAAAAAATAGATTGGAGATTTTCAAAAAATAATTTAATATCGCATACACAGAAACCGACCCTTCCGGAAGAAGAAAACCCTACCTGGAGGGAAATCTCTCTCCTCCCCATGCCTCCCAACCGAGAGAAAAGTGAATCGAATACTCCGAAAGGCCTAGAAAATTCCATAAACCAAACCGCACTCTTTAGAAAATCAAAAGAAAACTAACAATACCCAGGCGCCCAAGATCAAATAAAAAACAAAGAGTCCAACTTTTTTGGGACTCTTCCCCGTACTCCAGTTTTTCCTGATTTTGATGCCGAACAGTAGATCACCTTCCTAATGACTAGATCCCACAAAAAACTCCAAGAACTGGGCAATCTATAGCAGATCGATCAACCCTTTACTACTTCATGCAGTCAGCTGATCTAGGGCTGCATGAGAATGCTTCAAGAAATCCTAGTTGATGCTTTGGTACCAAGTAGAAATCTACTTAATTAAAAAATATAAAAGAAAAGTAATTTCTTGAAGAGAGAAGGAAGAGAGAAGGAGAAGAAGATAAGAGAAGTTTGAAAGAAAAGAGAGCAGTAATCTGGGCTGCCCCCTTTACTTATTATTTATACTAAAATAATAGAACAGTACAAAGACAACTATGCCCTTATAAGGCGGAAAAACATAAAACAACATATATAACACTCAAAAACATAATAAAATTTGGACTCACATAACTACTATGGTCCCCACCTCCTATCTAACAACTAACATAAAACATCTACTCAGAAAAACATCATAAAACTAATTAATCTTCAACAAATTTGATAAAAATCTTAGAATTTATTGGGCTTGGGCTTATAGAGCAGCCACCATCGAAGCTTCAACATGGGATTCAAGCCAATTATGGGTGGTTGGAGAGGAAGAGTCTGTGAAGAAAAATACCAATGTGTTGGACCACATTAGACTCTATGGAACGCACCCATTACTTCACTGCAGCCATAGGAGAACAATTGTGAATGTGAAATTAGGTTTCATGTGTAAAAATCACACAAGGGCAAAATAGGATTTTAAAAAAGTTAAAGTAATTCACATGTGACATTTTACGGATGGAGGGTAAGTTTTAAGTGTAGTGGAATCAGCCCACAAGGTATATTTAAGTCTATTTAGAAAACTCAGGGTACATTTAAGTCAATTTATAAAAGCTCGGTATATATTTAAGTCTTTTACTCTAATAGATATGATTTTCCATGAGTGAAAAATCACCGTTCTAATGTAGATCACCGCCATGATTTTATGTCAGTTTTGCCATGGATTGGGGGGTGCCATGGCAACTGTGTTCTGGATACCCCTCTTGTGGGCTATGTGTGGTTGGTCCCTTGCGCCATTTGCAAAGGTTTCCTGAGTTGTTTTTCTCCTGGTGCTCTTGGTTACCTACTTGTGTCTAAGAAAATTTACTCTGCTTTCAAAGTTGTTTTTTTTTTCACTTTTCTCACTGTGTATTTTTTATCTAGATTGTAACCTGAGCATTTATGAATGAATTTGCCCTTAGGCTTAAAAAAAAAAGAAAAAAGAAAAAGAAATATTGAGGTGCTATGTTACAGTATAACTCAAAGGTTGCTACATTGATTTTCCTAATTCCTTACAAAGAGATACTCTATTTTGACATTGAGATACATTTTTTTCATATTATTTTCCACTGCACATGTTTGACATTGAGATTCTTGAATTATCATCTTCCATGCAATTTAACTTTCAGTGACATTCTTCTCTTTGTAATGTTCTAGATTTGTAGGTCCTCAGAACCAGTCTCCTGCAAAACAACAAGGCAATGGAATCAATTAACTAGCTGAACTTCATAAATAAAGAAGCTGTCTTGGACAATTTGTCAAGGAGTTGTGGTGCTGTCGCCACAGCCAAATCTCTTTAGTGTCTTGGTATAAATTGTATCTTTAACTCGTTTAAATGATGTATGCTGGTCTTTTAAATAATTGGGAAGATGAGTAAGGCTTCCTGCTTGAAAGAGAGATGCTTGAATTTTCATAGAATAGTCTATTTCAATGAAATAGATGATATCTGCCAGTTAGACATCAATCACAGTGCATGTAGATCAAGAGTGAACTTCCAGCAGAACTTGACAAGATCCAGAGTTTCCTTGCACTCATGAAATGTTACCTGTTCAAAGTGGTGTTATAAGCAAGGTAATCTGGAAAACAAATGCATTTCTTGTTCATTTTCTGAATGCATAGGAGCAGCTTCTATTTGGCACAACTAGAACAGAGATACATCCAGGATCAGAGCATGAGGCATTATATTAGATTCTGGGATGGTAACCTCAATACGCACATTTTTATGGTAGTACTGGAGTCTAAGAAGTATGGAATCTCAATTTATCAGAAAGAGAAGGAATATTAAATGTTATATGACGGAAAGGTTAGATAATCTGTAACTCTAATTTTTATTTTTAAGATAGAAACCTTCCTTCAGTTCTTTAATGTTTCAGTAAGATGTTCATTACTGTTATGGAACTCAGAGTTCTGAAAACACCAAGGAGCAGTAGAAGCAGAATTTGTGTGAAATTCATTGCAGGGACAACTTGCATCAAAAAAGGTGGATGAGAAAATCAGAAAATACAGTTTGTGCTGAGTTGCATTCAGGTAATAGGGGTAGTTCAAAGTGTCACAGTTCTTCTAGGACAGATACATTAGGACTAATTTGTGGTTGTGTTGCAGAGCATATGTTCTACAGGGATGATTGGGCATTATCAAAGAGATATTCGACAGCAAGTATATTGGAACTACCAGTCACTAAACATAATAAACTTATTTTTGGACATTTTTCTACCTTAATTCTTAAATGCCTTAAGGAGAAGCGAATCAGTTGATAAAGGACCACTAGTTCTTTCCTTGAAAACCTATTAGGCAGAACTACTGATTGGTATGTCGTCCACAAACATGTGCTTTCTGTATACAATAGGACCAAGGAAAGTTCTACTCCATCAACCAATCCTGATGCAAATATTCATTTTATATTGAGCAGATATAAAAAAAAAAAAACTTATATATTTATATTCTAACTTTTATTTAGAATATATGATAGGTACTTACATAGAGTTGAGCGCTTAACCATTATAACGCGCCTCTTTCTCCCAATCCAAGATGTCAACCATGGGGGATCTCTTGACACAATTCTATAACCTGCATCTTCATACAATTTGCAGGCACCAAAATCATCTTCATAAGCCCGCAGTGCAAGGTAGTCAAAACCCCATAGAAGTGCAAGTAGGTCACAAGCTTTAAGCAACACTGTTGCTACTTTTCTCCTCCTGATAAACATATCCTTGAATTAATAAACAAGAAACCATGTAAGAGATGAAAGGAAAACCTCGAAAGCATGAAAAGGAAGGTATTCCTAACAACTAAAATTACGTAAAGAATGGTGATTGGCATTTGTGCATTTGGGATTCTTGAAATTTGTTGTATACTTCATTCAGTTCTGCAAATCCATCTTGCTTTTATTACCGTAATGAAATAAGCCTCAATTTGGCATCTTCTAGAGAGACATTTCAAGCATTAATAGGGATTTCTTTTGTTTTCATTCACATTGGATACAGATCACAAGATTTGGATGGATAATTAAGACCTATATAACCAAAATCATCAATTTGTTTAATAAAAATTGGAGGCATAAAAATCACAACTAAAGCTGGAATTTGAAACTTGTACCTTGGGCCATTTGGGAAATCTTGCATTTTCTTATCTGCTAAATACAAGGAAGTGCATTTTTTTGAGGTACTTGGATGTTGTATGTGTTCTCTGGATGGGAGGGAATGTTCTATGAGGATGTTACTTGGGCCTGCTTTCCCCTTTTTTTACTGTTCCTCTTTTCCCCTTGCTTTTCTTTTCTATAACTTTGATCTATTGTAACTAGTAACTTCTCAAAAACAATTGTCTTATGTATTAAGAAATTACTACTTCTCCAAGTAGTTGCATGCACATCATAACAATGGAATGGCTAATATCAATGCCATAATATAATTCAGACAGCAATTGTAGGAAGTACAGGTATTGCACTTGAACCAGTACATAATAATCAATTTGGAAAAACATGAAGAATAAAGTTACAATTTTTAGGACTGGGTGAACTAGGCTAGCTAGAAAGAGAACCATAAATCATAATTGATGCTTTATTTATTGGTAAACAAGGCTGTTATATAATCAGAACAGTAAGATAAAGAGAAGAAGAATGAGGAAAAAAGAAGAAACAAGAAAGAGGAGAAAAGAGAGTGACCAATCTACTAAGATGAGAAGCGAAAACTTAATCTCTCATTTAGGGGTGTCAATTGGACTGGATTTGGTCCAACCTGATCCAGTCCAATGTGAATCCATTTACAAATGGACCGAACCAAATCCAGTCCAAATGCAATACAAACCAAATCCAATCCAATCGATTAAAATGTAAATGGACTGGATTGGATCCAACCCAATCGAAACCGAATGAAATATCAAAATTTTTTATATAATTCAACAGCCATGCAGAAGTTCAAATTAAAATTACAAAAATATATAAAAATAAAGAAAGTCTGAAACATTAAAATGAAGGTTTTTAAAACCAGACCGGACAAGGAACCATTATGGGATCTGGTTCCCAGGTTGATATATATGCTTACCTGAAATCTTTCAACACTGCAATACCAGACATATAAAGATATTCTTCTGCTCCTTCAAGATGCCTGAGGACAACAGCATCTCTCAAGGCTGTGACATCCACAACACCTACAAGCACCTGCTCTGATGTGGGTTCTGTATAAGAAGCATCCATAGGCTCAGCAACCAAACAGGCATACCTGATAAACCAATACCAGTTTAGCATGATGAAAAACCCAAGCATAAGCATGACAATAAAAGCTTAATGGGACTGGATTTGTGCTACAAGGTAACTAATGGTGAGAAAGAGCAGGAGGCATGAGAAACAAATTACCCATTTGGCAAGCTGGAAGCCTGAAACTGCAAAACTAAAAATTGTTGCATTTATAACAAGACATTGATTTAATTGTTAGTTGGCCAGGAATGCACTTATTGATCGAAACCAAATTAACATCTAGAATGGAAGGCCATGCTGGGCTTCTTCAGGTAGATGGCCATGCTGGACTCCCCAGCTCTAACAGAAGGTTAAGAGAGCTTAAAGCTTCAACTATCCAATAGAAGGCTTGATGTATTGGTGCTTGCCTTGTGTTAAGAAATGTTCTAGGAATAGTTACAGAAATGCAGCCTATTAGCTAGAGAGAGCATACCTATCTGGTGGTGAGTTTCTAATCTTGTAGACAAGCCCAGATAGAACTTCAGCCTGTATTGTGCAGGAAAATACTAAATTTAGGAGAACAAATAAGAAAGTAAAGCTAGACACCGGTAGAACTACATCTGAATTACGATGAATACAGGAAAAGAAAGAGCTCATGACTCCTTCCTCTTTATTGTCTATCATTTATTTATTCAAATTTAGATAAAAGTCACACATTTTTTTGGTAAAGAGATAAAAATGGTCCATTCTAAGAATCCAGATAAACAACCACAGGCAAATTAGATGCTTCAACCTGAACAAAACATAAATTAGACCCAAAAACAAAACTAAGAAGAAAAGGAGACTGACCCTGAAAAATTCGAAGAATAAATCATCAAAGAGAGCCACTGGGATATGAAATGCTTCAGATTGAATTTGAGCTACCATTCTCATCTCATCTTCTTTCTCAACCAGCCTCCTCACTCTCCACCCAAACTCACTGATCAAATACGCATCCTTACTAATCTCACTTTTCCCATTCCAACCCTCCCCAACCAATTCCTTGGAGGTTGAAGAGCAGCAAGGAACCAGAACACCCCTTCGTCTGCTCCAAAGCTTCCTCCCCTTCTCGTCTCTCTTCACGTAGCAACCCGCATTCTTACAACTTCCCTCGAGATTCACCAGCTGTATCATGTCACATTTGACTCGTATACTACTACATGCAGAGTTTCTAGAGAGCCTCTTTGGAAGAAGTAAATTGTTTGGGCATGCTTTCAGATGAGCCATGTTTGATTGCTCCCACGAGTAGGGGATTCCGTTGCTTATAGTATGAACTATGAAGGTGGAACCGGGAATTGAATGAAGGAAAGGTAAAATCAACAGGTGCCACGGATGGCGGGTCAAAATCCATCAATTGATCCGACCCGTTTATTCATTCTCAAGCTGAAAATAGAGCTGTCAATGGGTTGGGGATGGAGAATATGATCCCCACTCCATTGCCATTCCTAACCCAATGCAACCTAATTCTTCTTCTATGATATGTGTCCTGCTTAATACTAAATGGATCAAGACCGGTTTTCACTGTCGTGGACCCATTAAGACCCAAACCTATATAGATAGAGAAAGAGGTCTTCTGGTTTTCTCTTGTAATTTGTATTATATTTTATGTTCAAAAGGGTAATAAATAAGATAATTTTGATTAAAAACATTGCTTTACCAATATATAAATAACTTACTATTTTTATTAAGACTATATTACTAAAATGAAGTTCTAAAAGTTGTTATTATCATATTTATCATTATCAAAAACAAAGTTGTTATCATCAAAGGTAATTTATAAATGTCTAAGAATAGTTGGGTGAACGAGGTCAGTCCGTCCCAATTAATAATTGGCTCACTTCTGGGTTTATCTTATAAAATTGATTAATAATGAGTTTGGTACAGACCCACCCTGTTCTCAAGGAGACCCGACCCATTGGCAGCTTTGGCTGAAAAAATGCCAAACAAACTGGGTGAAACCATAGGCAGACTTAGTTGACCGATCTCTAAGGGGATCACAAGTTGTTTTTGTTTTTGTTTTTGGTTTAATTTTGTTCCAAAAAATAAAATCATATTGCCAAACACTCTCTAAATGGACAGAAATCTGTATTCTAAACCCGAAAAATATTTGGTTATTCAGGTTGGAGAATCGGGTCAGGAATTGGATATTTATGTCTGGGCTTGAACAGGTTATCCAATGCTCTGTTTGTATGAAGAGGTTGGTGGTTCTGCCTCATACATATACCTTTTGTGAATAACCCAGAGATGGGAGGATAAGATAGTGGATGCAATTTGGCTGAAGCAATAGCTTATAAAGCTGCCACGTGGTGAATGCATAACCATACATGTGAAAGGTTGTGCAAGGACGTAAATTTATGATGCCTGAAAGGTACAACCACTTGCATTAAGAACTTCACAACTGAGAATCAAATTATTGGTATTGGGTATATTATTGAATAATTTGTATATGAATAAGATATGGATACGTTTATGGAAACGTATGGATAAAAATGAAATATAATGAAAGTATTTAGACATGTTAGGTAGATGAATATAAATTATATAAATATATTAATGATATTCAATCAAAAGTTGAATTATCTATGAATAAGGTATAAATAAATGAGAAATGTACACTTAAATAGGTTATATGAAGAGGAATATTACAATCAACAATACTGGGACTCTAGAACATTTGCACATCATACAATAATTATCACTCTATTTCAATTTTTATTAATTTTTTTGAAATTTTTTTAATTTAATATTTTTATATAAATAATAATTCTTTTTTAAAAAATAATTTGCTTTCACTTTTAACATATAATTATGTGTAAAATAAAATATAAACCATTTAAGGTAGATAAAATATATTTTTTTATAATTTTTAGTTTTTATTAATTTTTTTTTTAAATTAAATCTGAAATTATTTATTTCAATTTTTATAATTAATTTTTTTTATTTTTTATTAGAAATGAAAAACAATCCAAAAGTAATCAATATATAGTTTTGCCAAACTAGGCAGTGCGTATTAGACTGTATCCACCGATATAGTGTATCGTGCCCGATAAGTACCATTTGTGAGATACATATCTAGTCGTGACATATCTCATATCCATGCCCAATTTGAAAAAGTGGAAATGAACTAATTCACGCGAATCCAGATTTCTATGAATTCACATTTGTGGCCACGCCCCACATGCACATTAGAGTGTGCATTGGAAATATCTCCCAAGCATGTCATCCACATGCACATCTGAACATGCATTGGGAATATCTCCCATGCATTGGGAGATGTGATTTTTATATGCAAGTTCGGACCAGGCCCCAACTAATGGTCACAACAACCTTTATAACCGAGTACTGGGAGTATCTATCTACCTTGTCCTCCCTGACAAGATGTTTCTAATGTATTGTTGCAATGGCTGTCCGGACTAGTTGTTGGGGTCCTTATTGGGAGTAGAACTGGTCATTCTATATGTACGGCTATAAGTATTGTGAGAATGGTATAAGGACCAATTTTATCAAGATGGAATCAAACCTCCTTATTGGCCCATTGAGTATGGCGGTTCACTGGTTGGCACTTGACACCCACTTCCAAATGTCACTTTCCTAGATAGATTCTAATGAGTTGGTGCTTAGACTAGCATCGATCGGTCGATAGTGTGTTTGGTGTTATCCAATTTATTTGGTTTTCGAGAATTTTGATTTATCTGATTTGACCTCAGTGTTTTCTTAGACTCAGTTTGGAAGGTGTATAAATATAAAAATATAGAGTGCAAAATCCTGCATTTTGTATTATTTTATTTGTATTTATATTTTACATATTTATATTTGTATTTTTTTCAAATTCAGCCTTAAAAACAAATCTATTATATTATTATCGAAAAGACATGATATCGGAAGGACTTTGACTAATCAAAATCCACCAATGAATAAACATCACCTGATTGATTACAGTTTTTCTAATATCATGTCTCATGTCTTTTCTTAACCCTAATTCAACCTTGACACCATAAAGACATGAAATTAGAAAAAAAAAAAAAAACAAACCAAATGGCATCAAGAAACTAGTAACCAATCTAAAAAAGTGGAAATCAGCTGGTATTTATCAAAATCCTCAAGTGAATTTCGATGGATCAAAGCCCTTCTAATATCATGTCATTCCAGTAGCATAGAATTTTCAAATTAAGAAGGCCAAATCCCTTAAACCTCCCCTAAGTTTTCTAAAAAGGTCTTAACCTTTCCTTAACTTTGACCTGCCCCTAAACGTCCCATGACTTTTGGGGATGAATGGACTTATTCACTCCTTTGTTAAATCTAATAGCAATTGCCAATTTTGACTACTTTATGTAAAGTCAACAAATATTTGGTGACTGAAATACCCTTAAACCTTTAATAAAAAAAATCCTTAAATCTTTAAACAAAAAAATACCCTTAAATCTCTCTTTAACTAAAATAGGTTTGTTCATGACATGATAAAATGAAATACCGAAACATATTTACTCATACTAGTAAGTATGTACGATGATAATGATAGTAATAAGGTATTCAAAATTTTCTATAAATTTTATGTATTTTTTTGTTTTTTTATTGCAAATTGCAAAATCCAAATCAGATTACATAAACACCTCATCCAAATACATGATAATTAGATAATTTTGAAGTTTTAAGCAAGGATTAAAGTATTTGTATCAGATATTGTTAGCACCCGTTTTTTGCTTGGTTCCTTCTTTGACCCACCTCCTACATTCTAGATACCCGACCGGACCATGCCAATCGCTTTAACACATGCAAAAACTCTAAGAAACCAAATGCCCATAAATTCACCGTTAAATCTACATGAGTCCCTCTCAACGGTCTTGATTATGCCACATCATCATACTTGATCCCCGATCAAACTCCATCACGTGAAACAAAATTTTCAAACAACCAATCATGCAAAATTTCAACCCTAAATTCCTGGATTTAGCCAATCATTCATCAGAGATCCCATTTCGACGCGTATAACACTACGACGCTAAAACCCGTGATCTGCACGTGCCTAACACGATCAAACACTTCCAACAACCTCATAAGCCTGATCCATACTTACCCACCAAATTTTATCCCAAAATTTCCTTATTTGGCCAAACATCAAACCTTGATTCCGTTTTAACGAATCTTATTAGTCAAAAGCTCACTTGTCATGACTCCCCATCATCCAAAACTTATTTGACCAATCGGACCCCACCACCATGTTCAATGACCCAAAAAACCCCAACACATCGAATTTCGTGACCAAACACCTCCATTTGATCGTAAAAAAAGCCAGATTCCATTACTGAAGGGATAAGAGATCCATCATATGGATGGCCGAACCCTATAGGAAGGTTGGGCGAAATTTCAAAATTTCTCTCTCTCCCATATGGGAATCACATTCCCTATTTTAGAAAACTGCATGTTCAAGGATTATTCTTGAAAAAAAAATCGGACCAGATCTGAAACCAAAGGAAGGGAGAGAAAAATATCTTATACGAAATTAAAAGGAATTCCCAACATAGGTATTCACACCCAAAAGGGATACCAAATCCGCCTTCACTAAAAATGACACAACAAATGTTGAGGCAAGATCAGTAAGAACGGTTCTTCAGCAAGAACCTGGGATTCTTTACCAAGAATCGAGCAGGGTGATGTGAACACGACTTCTGATTGTTTTTTCACCAAGAAACAATATCAAGAACACTTCTTGATCACTCCAATAGGTGGAGATCGAACTGGGATGGCACCAAGAACTTAGGGAGAGAAAAGACTACAAAGAGGAGTGTGTTCTCTTTGTGGATTTCGCCCCCTATTTATAATCCATTCAGGATTAGCTTCCTAATCTAATTAGGAATGAGATTTCCTAATCTAAATCTTGTATTTAGATCTGAACTCTCAAGTTGATAAGACCTATCTTATCAAACTGCTAATCTCAGTCAGATTATAATTCCAAAATTGGCCCAATTTAATTAAACCATTTAAGCTCAGATCAAAATGGGCTTTAGGCCCATTAAGTCATATTACTTACTTAACCCATTAAGTGCTGGCTAGTATGGTTCTCTTTGTATGGCGTGAGACCCTAGCATTGATCTACACATCAACTACATGGGTTCAGCCCAGCCTTTGTTACAAGGCCTGGCTGAATTCACTGTAGGTCACAGTGAACCCCTGAGTCCATCACTATGGACTCTTAATGGGCCCATCATTTACATTAAATGGTCTTTGGGTCGAGCCATCTTGTGAAAACCCAAGAAC